AGTGTGGAGAAATTAGGAACAAACCTCCTATAGAAGCTTGCCAAACCATGGAAGCTCCTAATATCTCCAACACTTTTAGGAGTGGGCCATTCTTGGATGGCCTTGATTTTCTCGGGTCCCTTTTTTACTAATTATAAAACCTAAGAACACAACACTATCTACACAAAATGTACATTTCTCTAGATTACCAAAAAGATGATTTTTCCTAAGAATATTGAAAACTTGCCTTAAATGTCCTATGTGATCATTTAGGAACCTACTATATATAAGAATGTCATCAAAATAAACTACAACAAACTTTCCTATACAATCCCTTAGAACATGATTCATGAGACACATAAAACTACTAGGAGCATTGGTGAGTCCAAAAGGCATTGTCGCAACCCGAAAATTTCCGATCTATCGTCGCGATTGCCAAGGTCTGTTTCGGCCGGTGGCGACAATGCCTAGTAGTTGTCAGTATGAGAAGCCCCCAGAATCTAAAGGAAGTACATAGGTTAGCCGGACGACTCACATCGTTGTCAAGATTTCTACCATGCCTGGCCGAAACAGCAAAGCCTATCATTGGATTGCTGAAGAAAGTCAAGAAGTTTGAATGGTCTATCAGTTGTGAAGAAGCGTTTCAAGCATTAAAGCAGCGCCTCGGTTCCCCCTCAATCCTTTCAAAACCCGACCCTCGGGCAAGTATGGTTGTATACTTGTGTGTATCCAATGAAGCAATCAGCACCGTCTTGATACAAGAAAAAGAAATGCAACAGGCTGTGTACTTTATCAGTTGGATGCTCCAAGACTCCGAAACAAGGTACCAGCTTCTAGAGAAGGTAGCACTCAGACTAGTTCACACAGCTCGGCGCCTTCGACAGTATTTTCAAAGTCATCATGTGATAGTTCAAACCGATTGCCCAATCGCCAAGGTTTTGCACAAGCCTGAACTGGCCGGGCGAATGATGGCATGGTCAATCAAACTTTCAGAGTTTGACATATCGTTCGAGCCGCGGGGAGCGATTAAATCTCAATGCTTAGCAGATTTTGTCAATGAGTTACAACCGAAGGGCCATTTCATCAATGACTTATGAACGATGCATGTTGACGATTCCTCGAACAGCTAGGGTAGCAGAGCCGGAGTAATACTTGAAGGACCTGCAGGTCTAACGCTCGAGCAATCATTGCATTTCATTTTCAAGGCCTCGAACAACCAAGCCGAATACGAGGCATTACTAGCAGGGTTAAGGCTTGCTCAAGAAATCGGGGCTCGGCGTTTAATGTGCTGGACAGACTCAAAGGTTGTATCCGAACAGGTGAACGACAATTTCCAAGTAAAAGATTCCAATCTGTTGAAATATTATCATATGTTTCAACAAATGCGGAGTAATTTTGACGAAGTCCAAGTCAAGCACACGGCAAGAGAGAACAATGAGCTAGCCGATTAGTTGGCTCGGTTGGCTAGTAGTAGCCGGAAACCAGGGCAACTGCGAACCACACTTCATCTTGACCTATCAACTCCAAGTGTGAACTCTATCGAGTGTATGCCGATCACCGAACCTACTCAAACTTGGATTACTGAAATAATGGATTACATTGAACGGGGAAAACAACCGACAGAACCCTCCACTGCTAGAAAACTGCGAACGCAAGCAACTTGATATTCGGTTGTAGGTGGGGAACTATATCGAAGAGGTTTCTCAACACTGTTGCTAAAATGCATCGACTCGGCACAAGCAGATTACGTGTTGAGAGAAATCCATGAAGGGATTTGTGGTTCCCATTCGGGTGGAAGAACTCTAGTAGCCAAAGTCTTGAGAGCTGGTTATTACTGGCCAACTCTTAAGACTGACTGCGTCAAATTTGTTAAGCGATGCACGCAATGCCAACGACACGGTAATATCATTCATGCCTCGGCTGAAGAGCTGCATAACACTGTGCCCCTTGGCCATTTGCCTTGTGGGGGATGGACATCCTGGCCCATTCCCTCTTGCAAAAGGACAATGCAAGTTCTTGTTGGTGGCCATTGATTATTTTACAAAATGGATTGAGGCCGAACCATTAGCTATGATCACTGCAAGCATGGTCCAGAAGTTCCTATGGAAAAACATTGTCACATGCTTCGACATTTCGCACGCTATTGTAACAGACAATGGCCCTCAATTCACGGATCATAAGCTGAACAAATTCATCCAAGACTTGGGTATCCGACACCGATTCACATCGATCGAACATCCCCAATCAAACAGACAAGCTAAAGCTGCAAACAAGGTGATCTTTACCGAACTGAAGAAACGTTTGGGAGATTCCAAAGGAGCTTGGGCTGAAGAACTGTTAAAAGTTTTGTGGGCATACAAATGTACGCCTCAATCCACAATAAGGGAAACCCCGTTCTGATTAACATACGGCACGGATGCCATGATTCCAGTGGAAGTAGGGGAGCCCTCCTTTTGCCGACTACACTTTGATGAGTCAGGTAACGACTCATCGCTTCGGGCAGAAATTGATGTCATTGATGAAGTTTGAAACAAGGCGCGCATTATAGCCGAAGCATGCAACCAAAGAATGTCTAGGCGATTTAACTCCACCCTCACCAAACGTTTTTTTAAGGATGGAGACCTAGTATGGCGTGTTCAGGGAACGGCTCGGCAGAACCCACGAGAAGGTAAATTGGCAGCCAATTGGGAAGGCCCATTCAGAATCCATCATAATCTCAACAACGACGCTTACAAACTCGAGGAGCTTTCGGGAAAGGTCATCCTGAGGACTTGGAACTCAACCCACTTGAAAGCTTACTTCAGTTAGAAATTTTTCTTGTAATTACCGATGTATATACAGGGTGTACTCTTTTCCTTGATCGGTCTTTTTCCCCTTATAAAAATGTGAAAAAGGGTTTTGGCTGACAAGGTTTTTAACGAGGCACTAGTCAATAAAATATCAACCAATTCTCCTCCACTATTTTGTTCTTCATCATTTATCAATCGCATAAAACTAAAAACAAGGCTTCCCTGCCGAGTGAGTTCACTCGGCTAAGGATGTGCCTTCGGAATTCGTGCAAAAAGGCTTCCCTCCCGAGTGAGTCCACTCAGCCAAGGATGTGTCTTCAGAAATCGTACAACAAGGCTTCCCTCCCGAGTGAGTCCATTCGGCCAAGGATGTGCCTTCGGAATTCGTAGAAAGAGGCTTCCCTCCCTAGTGAATCCACTCGGCCAAGGATGTGCCTCCGGAATTCGTATAAAGAGGCTCCCTTTCCACAGGCCTGTCTTGAGAGATTTCAAAGAAGGAGGCATTTCCGAGTAAACCCACTCGATTTTCACAAAAAGGACGCAGTTCCAAGTGAACCCACTCAGTTTTCGCAAAAAAGAACGCATTTCCGAGTGAACCCACTTGGTTTTCACAAAAAATGATGTATTTTCGAGTAAACCCACTTGGTTTTTGCAAAAAGCACGCAGTTCCGAGTGAACCCACTCGGTTTTTGCAAAAAAAGGACGCATTTCTGAGTGAACCCACTCGATTTTCGCAAAAAGGACGCATTTTCGAGTGAACACACTCGGTTTTCACAGAAAAAGGAAACATTGCCGAATAATCACACTCGGTGGTTGCATAAAAAAGGAAGCATTTCCGAGTGCATCCACTCGATTTTCACACAGCAAGGACTCCTTGCCAACAACCCCATTCGGCCAGGGATTGCATTGTTCAATAGAAATAAGTTATTTGTTAGTAAACACAACCGATTGAAAAAAATCATATTTCATTACGAAAGGAAAAGGATCTATCGGCCCCCATTACATAAAAAAAAAAGTACATCAAGGTGTCGCAACCCGAAAATTTCCGATCTCGCGACTAATGGTTTAGACATCCTTTTAAAGATCTCATCAATTAAGGAATGCCCGGACACCAGACTAATCCTTAATTAATGGTTTTGAAAATAAGTTCTATGGAGCCGCCACCAATATTTTACTCAAAACATTGGAAAAAGAAAAGGTTTTTTAAAAGTCCAATAATGGTCTTGATAACCAGAATTGGGTTCGTGGGTCGGTTACGTGTAAGGAAGGTATTAAGTACCCCTACAACGCCCTAAATCGGACCCTATGATGAAGATAACGTAATAAGAATTAATAATTAAAATATTTAATCCTCTTTATTAATAATTATTTACATGCTTGAAATTTAAATTATACAATTAATCCTAAAATGTTTACATGATTATTTTTATTATAAATAATATTTATTAAAAATAAGAAATAAAAGAGAGAGAAGAAAATTAGCTGAAATACCTCTTGAACGAGCTCTATTAATCTTCAAAGATGGAGATTTGGGTGCTTTTTGGCAACCCTTCACCCTACAATGCCTCACAAAAATCTCAAGAAATACAAAAAGAGGGGGGAAGAGAGAAAAAGAGAGAAATTTCGAGCTATAGGAAGTCTGGACGAAATTTCGGAGTCCGGAGAAATGAGCCCCAGCTGTCTATTTATAGACTTCAGGAAGGGGGTCCAGAACGGCCCGTTCCAAAATCGGAACGGCCGTTCTGGATATGGCCGTTGTGGGTTAATTTGGACCCTGGAACGGCCCGTTCTGAAACCGGAACGGCCCGTTCCGGGGAACCAGAACGGCCCGTTCAGATTTCAGAACGGCCCGTTCTGGGGGCCAAATTAAGCCCACATGATTTGGTCTGGAACAGCCTTAGAACGGCCCGTTCCAGATTTAGGAACGGCCCGTTCCAGCCCCGTTCCAGTTAACCTTTTAACCCTTTTTGGATAATTTTGGAACGGCCCGTTCCAATTTGGGTTTTTTGGCTCCTTTAAAAGACTTGGAACGGCCCGTTCCAAAGCTAGAACAGCCCGTTCTGGGCCTTGGAACGGCCCGTTCCGATTTTGGAACGGCCCGTTCCGGGCCAATCAAAAACTCAACTTGTGCTTTTGGGCCCTTTAAGGTCCTGTCTTCTTGTTGGCATGCTTCGGGAGCTCCTTCCCTTCATAACAGAGGTCCATGTCCTTGTTTGAATGCCCCCGGACGAAATTGGGTGTCTACACAAGGTTAACCAAAAACACCTATTCAAGTCTAACCTACTCCTGAACATTCTCAACATGGTCCTCATGTGTTTCGGTGTCATCCTCTTGCTCGGGGTATGGCTCTTCTTGGTCACCCTTGACCTCACCATCGGAAACAGCCCGAGTATCTTCCTCCTTGGGGGCATCTTTCGGCTCATCAGCATCGGGGACTACCCCCTCGGCATATCCCCGAACGACATGAAAGACACTTGAAAGAAGCCTTTGGTCATGTCAAACTCAAAATCCTCTCGGAAGCGACCGAAGTACCTTGCTTGCCGAAGAGCATGACGAAACCCAGCTTCATGTTGAGCAACAATACGGTCTTTGGCTTATTCCTTAAGCCGTTCAAACTTGGCCTTTGCCTCTCCCGCTTGATGTCGTTCCTTGTTCGACGCCTTTTGAAGGTCCAGCCGAAGAGTGTCGTTCCTGTGCCTCAGTACATCTAGTTCGGCCGAGAGTTCTCGATTCTTGGCCGACCCGACCTCAGTCGTTGAAAGGGCCTCGGCAGTAGCCTTGTCGGCCTCTTCCACTCTTTGCTTCAAATTCATCACCTAGCCGATCGGCTCCATAGCGAGGTGATGAGCAAGTGCCAACGAATGTTCTTGCACTTTGCAAAAATATTTCCATTTAGACACGGTATCAAACCAGTCCAGGAATTCATGTCCATGCTCCGACATTGCATCTGACCGAACCATTGTATCGACAGAAACATCCTCACTTAGGAAAGCCCGACACATCATGATGGAAGCACTTGGAGAGGATTGATGTTCTTCCAAGTTCTCCATGTAAAGGACCGAAGAACTCTTGAGGTATCCTTGAATAGAAGCTTGAATCTCTATGAAGGAACCTTCAATGGAAGTTGAAGAAATGAAGATGATTCGGTTACTCCTTAGCTTGTGAAGGAAGCTTGAGGAACCAAGGCAAAGTTTGAAGAACATTGATAGAAACCTTAGAGAGAAAATTCTCTACGGTTTTTAGGGACTCTTGAGTGAGAGAAATCTGAAGTTTTATTTCTCAAAATGTTCAAAAGTAAATACAAGAGTAGAAAATACAAATATATAGGGAGATGTAGCTTAGGAAGCAAGCTAACCTTAACCATGGTTCACTAGGAACCATGGTGAGGTTAGGCTTGACCGTCCATGGTTTGTAAAGCTTGTAGGAGACGCTAACCTTGTCCATGGTTAACTTAAGAACCATGGTAAGGTCAACTAAACCTCCAAGGTTTAGAAACTTGGATGAAAAGCTAGTAAACTTGAAGAAGGTGACTTGAAATTCGGCCAAATAGAGACAAGGAAGCTAGGCGGCCAAGAACTCAATTTGCTCACTTGATTTAATTAAAAAATATTTGATTTGGTTTAGTTAGGTTCATCAAATGCTGATGAGACCTAGCTAAATCAAATCTATGAAAAATTAGGAGCAAAATGAGTCCAATATGTAAAATTTTGCCTAGGCCCAATCCTGGCCCAATTACTAGTCACACCCTCAAGCATTGCTAAATGCCACCCCTTTTTCCCTACTGAAAAAATATAAAATGAATGTATCAACTAGGGGGGTTAAATGGAGTTAAACTCTCCAAGTAGCCTACCCTAAAATCAATATACAAACACTAGAAAAAGCAAGTAAAGTGCTTCACAAATACAAAGGCAAAAATAACCTATACAATAGACTATGTACAAACTATACAATATTCACAAGTAGAACTAGGCCTTCTCTTTATGATAGAGTAGTCCAAGTGAAGAATACCTTGGGCTTCAAAAGCCCACTAGTCTTCAAGAGCTCCAAATCTTCTTGTATTCTTCTAGCCATAGCTCTGGTAACTAGGCCCTTGGCCCATGGTCTATCATCCCCTCCCTCTTGAGAAGGATTTGTCCTCAAATCTGTAGGTTCATCTTCCTCATCATATCCTGCAAAGGGAATAAGATCACTAACATTAAAAGTGTTGCTTACTTCATAATTACTAGGAAGATCTAACTTGTAGGCATTATCATTGATTCTTTGGAGGACCTGAAAGGGACCACCTCCTCTTAGATTATGAAATAAATCAAGTGAGCATTTTGAGACTTGGTCGCCTAGCTCATCTCTTTGTGCTTGGCCGAAATTGTGAAGCTTCTCCTTCAAGCTTTGAAGCTTGCCTTCCAAGCTTCTAAACCTTGGTAGGTTAGGCTGACCTTACCATGGTTCTTAAGTGAACCATGGTCAAGGTTAGCTTCTCCTACAAGTTTTAGAAA